CCATATCATCGACGACAACTATACGACAATTTTATGTCTCCGCGCAAGGGCGCGAAAGGTCCGCGAAACGAGCGGCGCTTGGCGGGTTTCTGGGAACAAGAAAATCGGACAACGCCCAAGTGTTTGTATGCGTTTGTCTAACTCTGAGCGAGCTTGTCACCATCGTCACTGGTCGCACTGCACGAACAAATGCTTGATGACCAATTTGGACGATTCATTCCAAGGCACAAGCACGTCGTTGCAATGCCAAGCCCCACAGCCCACGAGCCTTGTAATTCAGCCGAATCTTGGCACTGCCTGGTTCAGGGTAAAGGAATTGGTTGCGGGCCGCAACGGCGCACGCGGCGGTGGGGCGGGGCCTTGGTTTCGGCGCTCCCGCTGTGGTTTCGCGCGAATTCCGTTGCGTTTCGACGCTCCTGCTGTGGTTTCGCGCGAATTCCTGCCTCTTCTGGCCTCTTCTGGGGGGGGGGGTAACTTAGATTGTGGCCTCCTTTGGCCTCTTCTGGCTCTCCTCACTGTCTGGGGTTTACGCCGGCATAATAGTATGAAAAGTGGGAGATGATTAGGAGCATCGCCTGAGCAGCGGATGCAGCAGAAGAATTGCCCTTCAAACTCGCTGGCTTCTTTGCAGCTCAAGTTTGGAAAGGCGCAGTTTTCTGACTTCTATCCGTTTGCCGACTGCGCCCATGGCCGTGAGAATCGCTCGCGAGATGCTTAATGTGATCGTGCTGGTGTTGGCCACGAAGATGAAGTAGGCCGGTGCCTGCGCCGCCACCGCGGAGTGCTCGGGCGGAAATGTCACAGTGGACCAAGCCGTCTTCATCCAGTCCAAAGTTCCCAAAAAAGATTTGTATGCAGATTCGGAAGAGGAGTTGCCGTTTGGTGAACGGCTAGCTAAGCCCATGTCACGAGCTTTGGCTGAGGTCGAAATGTCGGCCAAACTTGGGCGCTATGGCGAGGCCTTGAAAGTTGCAGCATGTTCCGACTCTGTTACGTGAGATGCCGATTTCGTCAGGTTGCGTATACCGGGCAGGCACGCGGAGTGCCAAGCAATGCTACAGGCGGGTAGAGAATTCGGGTCCAACGTATTACTGCTTGACGCCAGTCTTGTAAATTATACATACACTCTGCCTTCCCCTTGTCCTGTGTAGAAGCTTTCGATTCAATCAGAAGCCGCGGGCTTGCCTTGAGTTTGGTGAGATGACGTGTTCTTTGGGCGGCATGGGAGGGTTCAGACGGGGGGGAGTCGCTCAGGAAACAGGCGCTCTGACCGCGTATCAGATCACTCGACTTTAGTGTCACCTCTGCGCTAGAATTAGAGGCAATTTGTGCGCCAACGGCATGTGTTGTCATGCCACCAATACCAACAGTAAAGCAGGCACACCCCGCACAAGCACTCAGGGCCACAGCCAGCAATCAGGGCCACGGCCAGATTTATTCTGAATTGCTTTGAATTGCCCCCCTTGAACGGGGGGCGTGACGGCGTGACTGCGGGAGCCACCTATTTCAAGAGATAGACACTTCATCATGTTAATTCACATGTAGCTAAGTTAACTCATTTGACTATTTTGTGCACTCAGCTATTTAAAATGAACTAGACTATGCCACGGCCGTTTCAATCCAAAAAAGAGTTCTTGGCTACCACGAAGAACACGAATTAGCTGCATGACCAAGGGATTTTGAATGCAAAATGAAAAGCTTGACTTGCTCAGCTGCAGCATGTTGATCCCAGCCAGCAGGGCCCGATGCGGGGTTTATGAGTTGTGTACTTGTGATTCTTGAGGCGAATTGAGCCGTATCCTTGAGAACGTGATAGCCATGTCGGGAGACCCTTAGAAAAATCCATTCAACAAGCAAAATGTCTTTGGCCGGGCCTATCCAAAGTATGGAGCCACAAAGACCTGGGATTTACATGTGCAATATAGACATTGTCCTATGGCGAAATGCCAACTTATCTTTCCTTAGAATCTAAACTCACAAGCCAAAACAAGCTTAAGCCCAAGACTTTCTTACGATCATGTCAAGGTATGCTCTCCATGTCTTGCCTAGGGACACTGCTTGCCGTTCGTCATTTGAGGTTATTTGGGGACCTGAGCTTTTCCAAACAAAAGCTAAGGGGGATGCTGCTTGCGATTTATCATTTGGGCACTTGATGTTTTCGAAGTTGCGATTTGTCATTTGGAAACCTAATCTGTCAAACGCAGGTCACGACCTCACCAAGAACTTGGGGCTTCTAAAAAAGGATAACCAATGAAGCCCTTGAAAACCCGAAAAAGATGATGCTTGTTCATCGACAAAAGACAGGCCTATCCTGAAAATTCTTAAGTTTCTCAAGCCTCAAGATGCCCCCAAGACTGAAATCGAAGGCACGGCCCAAGAGCCTCCCGGGAATCTTCGATGGTCAATCTTCAGTTTCAGGACCAGGATTAACATTCTTAAGATTCAGAATATTCCTCGAGGCGGAAATACAAGATTGAAATGCAGGACGCTCACGTTCAAAACGCTAGTACCAGCAGATGGTTGACTTCGGAGAGCAGCAGATGGTTTACTCTAGGTTAATGTGGGAATTAATTCATAAAAGCCTGGATCTTTCAGGGTGGGGATTCCAAAAGTGTGTACATATATACACATTATCGAAGTCCAAGAGCTAGAGACCCGGTTCGCGCCTTTGGGGGTTCATCGCAGAAATTGGAGAGCACTGCACCCTTGGACAACGCAATCTACCCTAAAACCCTAAACCCAAAACCCTAAACCCTAAACCCTAAACCCTAAAGAGGCCGGGCCAATGCCTCCGCGATGGCCATGTTGGGACGTATGCTCCGTGCAGCGCTTGCCCGAAGACTGTCAGCATTGCAACGTAGGGTTTAGGGTTTAGGGTTTAGGGTTTAGGGTTTAGGGTTTAGGGTTTAGGGTTGCTTCTGCAAATTCCCCAAACCTGCTGGCACCTCGGCGCGTTTGCAGATGTCGAGCTTGGGCGTCAAATTTCGCGGTCCTTGGGCAGGTTCTGACGAAGACTGTTTTTATACACTGATCCGAGAGGGCCGAAGGCACATCGCCAGTTTCTTCAGAGCACCGGCAGACCATGTATTGTCAATGTACCTGGAGTACAGGCATAGCAATTGGGGCAAGACAGTCACGCAGAACACAACATTCCCGAGAGACCCAGAACAAGACTTTACAACAGGACATGTCCCAGCCTTCGAGGCATGGCTGGATCATTTCCTGCATGGATGTGGGTGATGAGAAGGCTGCCGATTACGGCTGTTACCACCCCAAGAATTTCCAAACTAGGTACATGACCTGCGATGATCCTGGATTCGGTGGGCATCATCGGCATGCGTTTTTCGTGGACGATGCAAACTCGGCCATTGCAAACATGCAGGGTTTGTGGTTTGTTGGCATCGTGGAGCTCTATGGCCTCCATATGCATGCTCAAGTACCAGCTTCAAGTATCCTTGATCGGATGTGATTGCAAGAGCCGACAAGCTGAGACTCGTGCAAAGGAAGTGCATGAAAGCCATCGTGTCCCGCCTCTGCTTGGCTGTGAATTGCGTGATTCAGAGCCCCATTGCACCACAGCCCAGACATGAGGATCTCTCATCAGGGGTTTTAGGGATATAGAGACGTTCCTGTAAATTCTGACTTCATTTGCTAAGGAGTTTTGTCTATGTTTTTTGTGTGTATTTCAGTTTCTGAGCTGCTAGAGAAGCTCTGTTGCAGTCCTGAACTGGTTAGTCAACAGTCTGAATAGATGCACAATTTCGGACCTCAAAGTCGAGTTCTGTACAGTTTCGTCCGCTGGGCTGACATGTCACATAGCAGCGCCCTCTGTCATGCTGCACCAGCCTCGCAGACGAAGATTGTTCAGTTCACGACAGCTGCCAAGCAGCAGACGGAGTCGGTCAATTACAGAAAATTACAGCACACCCATGGCAGTTGGACACAAGGGCTACGACACTCAGCATGGACTAGGGCAGAAGCACGTTCAAATGTTTGAATACTTACTTAAGCTGCCGTGAAACAAAAAGTTGTGCCTCGTCAAGGCGGTGCAAGTGCTGGCATGATGGCACCACACCTGACCAACTGCGCCTCACGCGCAAACAATGCAGCTTTGACTTGCCTATGAAGTTGCTGGGCCTGAATGGGCCTGATGTTTTGAGTGCGCTGATCTGACATAGTGCTGCTCAATATTGTATGCATGTCAAATGCGTGAAGGTTGTAATTCTCGAAGGCATCAGGCTGGCGTCTGACAGCTAAGCGCAACCCTGTCGCGTGGCTGTCCAGCAATTAACGGGTGGGTTTCCATAGCTGAGCTCAGGGAAATACTTACAGTCCTAAGTCCTAAGTCAGCAAGATGGCCAGTCTCCAAGATCATCATCTAGACATGGCTTAGCCCAAGTGAAGCCGTCACCACGCACGATAGGGTTGATCCACATGGGTCTCGAGCCCCAAGAAAAAATACCAAAACTGCAAGCGCCGCAATGGAAGAGTCGCACCGCGGCCGGAGAATGGTCGACCGTCGCTTCTTCGTTTTTGTTTCATGTTTGAGGGCGGCGCTCGTTTCCAAACCGAGATGGCAAGAAAGAAATCGTTTGCTCTGCGTGCTCGGCGGCTGGTTCTGCTGATAGTTCTTTTGGCGGTTTGTTAGCGCTGGTGCAAGAGTGAAGGCATAGCTTGGCCAGAAACGCATTGATTTTCGCTGAGATCACCGTCGATAGGGTCGAGGGATCCTACAATTTAATTCATGGGGCCGAATTTTAACGCTAAGCGACCTCGGCCACACAGCGGCGGTGCTAGCGAGAGGGGTGTGGCGAGGGGTGTGGCGAGGGGGTGGGGGTTGGGATCTGCGGGGGAGGGCAGTGTTGGGGAGGGGATTAGGGTTGCCTGCTTTGTGCTCCCCATACACCTACGCCCTCGGCGGATTATATATTGTGCCCTATCGACCGAAAGCCTTTTTGGCTTACTGTGTGTGTGTGTGTGCGCTGCTTACCGAACCAGCAATGGTGCTGCACTGGCAACTCGGCAAGCAAGGCAGAAGACTGATACAGCCTTGACGGGTTTAGACATTGTAGGGCTAGGGTTGAAGAAAAAACCCATCGTTTTGCTATTTTATCCTTGCCGGGTCTCCTTTACTCCTTGCTCCCGAATCCACCAAGAATCCGCACCTGCTCAGCCAAAGACCCAGCTTGGCTCTCAGCAGTGAGAGTGAGCCCAATAAAACTCTGGACTTAGCCGAGCTTGCTGACTGAGCCAAACGCCATTGGATCGACCAGCACGGTGCTAGCCCGACTCAGCTCTGCCTCTGTCATCGTCCTTGAAGGCTTTGCGGCGGGGAGCTGGCGCTGCATGAGCCCCATTGCCCCACCCGCGACCCCACCCTCACCCTCCACCCCCAGCTTTGGGGCTTACCATGGTTTACCCATCCTCGTAACTGTCGGCACTTTAAGAAGGACGTGGATTATTATTGGATACGCGTATAGGGATCTCGAGGATCAGGACGACATGCTTCAGCTCCCAGGCGACGAATGGTTTTGTGCACATCGGTTTCCTGTGTACCACTCTCGAGGCGCTTGCGCATGGCCATATGCTGACCCTTTGAGCTCGACCGCCTTTTGGGCTGTCTTGACATCTGCTGGCGCGATGGGCTGGCGCCTTCTCACCAACAGCTCGGGCCACCTGAGTCTGGAGCCAGAGTTGAATCTGCAGGCTCTTCGCCTCCGACATGGCCTGCCGCTGCTGATCTGGCAGTGACCTCCACTCATTTCTGCATCGTTTTGGCTAATGACAAACTTGGCCAAGTTATTCACCATGCGCTTCACCTTTGTAAAGATCTTCAGAGAATGCGCTCGACTCCTGATAGCCCCTTGATTTTAGCAACATGCCAAGGTGGATCTTCCTGTTTAGGCAAGGCCCGTTGTTCTGAAGTGTGTGGCGTAGGAGGTGGGATAGGACCCATTGGTGGAGACCCCGCGCCGTTCAATCTTGATGCCCGCATCCAGAGCGTAAACTCCAAGATTCACAAACTCATCGCCAAGTTATGGCATGAGATGCTGAGAATCCTTATGTTCCATTGCCAAACTGCCAGACTTGAACCTTTGTTGGGGCATCCCGGGTGACCACTCGGTGGACTCCTGAGTGTCATCTCATATGTGGGCATTCCTCAGAGCCGCAAGGGATCCAGTCAGTTGAAGCTTTCGTTGCTCCCCGGCCTTTGGCAGGGACTGGAAGTCCCGTCCCTTGTCGCCACAGATGAAGCGTCCGATGTACAAGGGATCGCCAGGCCGAAGACGGACCTGGCATCACGGGCAAGGATGTTGGCTGGGGGACCTGGTAAAGCTCGTACTTGCTTTTGCAGGGGCAAAAGGGTAGAAGCCGCGGGATAGGACCCAATTCCCTCCCCATCACCCACCCCGCCCCCTCCCTCCCTCCTCTCCCCCAGTCCAAGCCATGCAGTTCGCACAGTTCTGAATGTACTTCCTTCAACGTTTTGGAACGCCAGGCAACTCACCAAACACTATTGTTAAGCAAAGACCGGTGTTCTTCTTGAACGAAGTCATGACATCATCCCCACTTCGTACCACTCAACCCCCAAGCCGCGCCCTTTTGTGAGGCGACTTTTCCTCGTTTGCTGGTTTCGCCACCAGGTGGGCCAGGCCGCAACATGCGCCACCGGGGATGACGCAGTGATGCTTCAGATCCAGATGAACGAGGGCGAGATGCACAGGGACCAGGACGCCACTTCGTGCATCCGAGAGCCCGCCAGTCGACACTTGCCAGACGACCTGCGCGGATGCACGCACCCAGCCCCAGATTTTTTGAAACCGGCCTGGCAGACACGCTTGGTCAGCAACCCGCTCCAGCCGGGATGTTGGGAAGCGAACAGCTCATGTGCCCCGTTCACGTGTTCTGCCGCTGCTGCTTGCGATGCTTCCATGGCCCATAACCTCAAATTGTGGGAGCCGGTACAGCCAGGAAAACTGAAGGCCCTGGTTTTCCAGTACGGCAAAGTTGCATCATCGGCACTTGTGACTGGATTTAAATTGGAGCTGCGTATTGCTGCTGCCCATGCGCACCAGGGAGAGGAGGCAAGGCAATGGCTACGTGGGCAGCCAACAGCTTTTGGGGCTGCAGTCGAACTCAGAAAGTTTTCACATAAGTTTCCGTGGCAACTAGCCCTAACCCTAAACCCCAAATGCTCCAAGCCTGGGACAGCCCAAGCCACGTTGCAAGGCTATTCCAGTCGAGCAACAAGGCTTTGCCTTGTCGAAAGAGTGGTCTCTGATGCCAGGCCCCCTGGCGAAACTCTGAACAGGGTTCTTATAAGTAACGAACTTACTCTAAGGGGCTGCGCCCATGTGCGGGCAGCGCAGGCAGAAGCCCTGGGAAGTAAATGACATACATACATGTGTGCACAAGCTGACCCTATAGACGAATTTATAAAGTAGAGTTGTGTGCTGTCAAAGGCAGCCGCCAATACCACCGGGAACCGGGGTCGTGAAGTTGCGCGATCGGGTCAGCTTGTAGGCTTTCATAGCCGGCACGCGTGGGTTTGGCGCCGGGGTCTATCATGCCAAAGCTATGACCTTTCAACCCTATATAGAATGCCTTAACGCCCAAGGCTGGAGCCGCTGATGCTCCTCATGCGAGCCCCCGAGCCCCGAAACCAAGGCATGACGCGCGCCCCGGGTCCCGGACTGGGGCCGCTGATGCTCATGATGTTCGCCCGTTTTGGGGGTCGTCGATGTCTACCCATCGCCAAAAACACGACAATGGGTGGGGTCGGCGGCACTCTGCAACGCACGTCGGCTGGTTCGCCCGATTTAAGGGTTGACGCCGCTGCCGCCGACCCCGCGAAGGCCATCTTCCGCAGGTCAGCAGACCGTCTCGAAAAAAATTCCAGCATTTGTCCGCCAACTGGAACAAGTGCGGGCTGAGTTGCCCGCGACTCGCATCGGTTCTAAACGCCACGCAAGAGAAAAGATAGTTTTGTTTGTGTGGGGTCCCAGAGAGTGGGGCGGCGCCCACACACCGGTACGGGGGTAGCGGGGGTGGGGGCTTGGTTAGGGATAGGTTCTTGCCGGGCTTGCGCAACAATCAAGCTCCTCATCATGTTGCAGCGCTGGGTGCCCGCTACTCGCATCGGTTCTAAACGCCACACGAGAGAAAAAATATTTTTGTTTGGGGGTGGGGGTGGGGGGGTGTGTAGGGGTAGAGCCAGCGAGGGTCGGGGCTTCGGGTCCGGCGGGTAGGGTGTCGGGGCAGGGGTCCCTAGGGCCCGGTATTCGAAACAGTTTCAGGAAGGGGAGCGGAGTTAAATGGGACTACCTGCCGCTCCAAGGCGGGGAGAACGTAACCATAATACGAATACTATGTGACATGACGGACGATAACCCGAAACCCTGCACAGACCTGTACGGATCTCGAGGTTTTAGGGCCCTCAACACCATCCGCAGGCGACACGTGCTTCATCATCACAGCAGCTCGGAGCCACATCAATCGAGTGCCCGGGCCGTTGATTTGTGTTTTCGTAAGGGTCCTTGTCCGTTTTCGGACACCGTCGATGTTTGAGATAATGTACGCGCAATCCTTTTCAAACACTATGTCACTAAGCGTCACTATCACACACGGACATCCCGCTCATCCTTATCTGCTCCGGCAAGCCCTATAGGGTTTATATTTTTCTTGTACCCCCAAAAGGACACCCAGTATATGCACTCACCAATATTAAAAAGGTACCTTATATACACTCACCAAGAACAGTAATGTAAACCCTGTTTCATATGGGCCCTGGACAGGTTCTAGGCCCTTGTTCGTAAGCAGTTTTGTGCAGCGTGAACAGGACCCCTCGGAGTACTTCGAAAACGTTCTGGCGCCCAACCATCCGTATGGTCACTTTGTGGTGAAGTGGGCTCCTAACGGTAGGATCTGTAGCTGTTCGGCTTCACGCCGTCCCAATTCCAAGTTTAAGCGCTCGCTTGTTCAAAGCTAAAGGTTTGGTGTCGCATTTTTGGCCTGGGGTTTGTCATGACGGGCAACCAAAAGCCAACACCCAAAGTCACTTAAAAGGCTACCACCCACGGGGTCGCCGCCGCGATCACGACACACCACCCGCCGCAGGGGAGGAGAGGCACCTCTGTAGGGTGTAGGGGCTCAGGCTCTTTCTCAGCTGTCAAGACCTTGGGCAAGGGCTGGACCGGGTTTGCCAAAATGGTACGGTCGCATGACATGTTAGGTGGACGCGGGAGATGGTGGAGCAGCTCGGAGAAAGCAACGTGTCTGCGCTCTTAGAGGACTTCCATGCTCAGCATCCGATCCTCTTGGGGCGACTCAACGTGAATACGTAGGCTTCTTCAGATGAGTTCTATCTCGGAAAGTTCGCGCATCTTCTCTGATAGATGGAAGCCAGGTACTATGCAAAGTGGTTTTCGGAGGTGCTCAAGCCTTCCACAGGGGCGGACATTTTGGCGGGGAACTTCGATGTAGAGAAGAGGCACCAGCGCGTCTCTACGTCGCGATGTACTGTGTTGGCCTTGCGGAAGCTCAGCTGAATGCAATCTCCACGAACATCGTTCCTGACTGCGGACATGAGGCTTCCCCTAACTGAGCGCAGCCATAATAAGGTGACCTCGCAATGCCGTCTAGGGAACAGGAACTGAGGCGGCTCATGCATAGCCACTGCGTGCATATGCAGGGATGGCCGCGTGATCAGGACGGTGAGGAAGAAAGACATTAAGTAGAACAAGAAAGGGAGAACATAATGAAGTAAAGACTATAAACAAAGAAACAACGAAAGAAAGGAAGAGAGATAAGGAGAGAGAGTAAGAGGTGACTCGAAAGCGTGGAAACTGCACCCGCGCAGCCTCTGGAGGGGTCCACGCCACAAACCAACGACCTCGAGAACGATCTTGGGTCTAAAGGGGGAGGGTGAGAGCACTGCTACCTGCAGAGTCCGAAGGAGGAGGGGTCCAATGCGACCCCGAGCACTACCATCAGATGGGTCCGAGGGAAGGGATCCAGACCACAGACCGCCAGCGCGACTACCAGGAGGGTCCAAAGAAAAGGGGTCGACCGAGCGCTACTACCAGAAGTGTCCCAGGCGCGGAGGGGTCTCAGACCACCGACCCTGAGAGCTACTACCAGAAGAGGGAGATGAAGGGGCTGACGGTGCAGCGCAGCCTCGCCCCACCGCATGAAGAAGATGGACGCGGGGGCAGACGCGGCGATCGATGTGGATTCGAGGGGGAAGTAGAGGTTGGTGAAGAGGACCCGAACGCAACACAAGCATGGGATCCGCCGGCGCCCAAGCACTGAGGAAAAGCACTGAGAGGGGGGTCTGAGCCCAGTGTTGTAAGCCACCTGAGAGGTATCAATTGGGGGAGCACTCAAAATGGTTAGCCTCATACTTGTGGCCTCACCCTGGTGTGAGTGACTCAGGTTTAAGGGTTGAGTGGAAGGTCAAGGCGGCGCTAAGACTCCACTCGACAGGCCTCCCAAAAAACAAAACATTACTTAACATCGCGGGGCCAGCATTTCATGGGGGCCGTACCTTCACTGCCCGCAATATTTGCTCGCAAACAGGGTGGTCGATCGAGGCTTTCACCTTTTACAGAAGTCCTCCACAAAAACGTGGGGGCGCGCCTAGAGCGTGGGAGTTTCTCCCCCAAGCCCCAAGAAAGAAACCAAGAAAGAACGACCGAGAGAGAGGACCTGAGTGGTGCCTGGCGCGCGGGGCCTTCAGAGCCCTTCCAACATGAAGGTAGCTTCACAGATACATGGATGCCTGTCGCGCACGAGCCTCAAACGCGCCTCGGCGCGCTCCCTTCGGAAGGAAAGCAGGCAAGCGGAGAGAGAGAGAGAGAGAGAGAGAGACCCCCATTCCCCCAGGTACGAGGACAGCAAACATTGGGACAAGGTCCTCAACGAGTACTTCCCTGGATTCCGCCTGCCACAAGAAAATCGGGCAACACAGAAGTGGTACGACGTTCCGTACCAGAACTTCGTGAAGAAGCTGAAGCAGGATCTGTTTAGGACGGTTTTTGCCTAGTTCGTTGGGATGTGTCTGACATTTTCAAACTAAGTTCGGATGGACACCAGGCAAGAGGCTCTTCTTGCATATGACTCCGGTTTGAGCGCAGAAAGACTGAGGAAGTACACCCAAGATGAGCTGGATGAGATTTGCCAAACCGAGACAGAAACACATTTCTACAAGTCGGATCCATCCTCGCCTTGTGCCCAAAGGGCATAGGGCGCCTTATAGGCCGGCATGCGCGTAGTAAAAAGTCCCGGACGTCGTGCTGGTGTCATCATCGGGAATCCTAGTCACCAGCCAGCCCTCAGTCCCGCCCACCCAAGAGACAGCCACCTAAATGTCAGCCGCGCTGCCGTGCATTCCGGAGAGTATTTGGCGATATACTGTACCTTAACCATGGTGCGCGCGTTCGTACTGAATGCCCAAAGCGGCGCTCGGGACTGTCTGTGTAGGAGTCGGTCTCAGTGCTTGTCGGGTCTTCAGGATCTACAATCTACATCTAAGATAGGACTCCTGCAAAGCACTCCGTGCCGTGGTCACCGTAAAGCGTTGGTCCTTGGTGCTGTCTGGGCTGGGGTGCGCGGGTTGAATCACAGCATGAAATATGTATATATAATTATATATATATAATTATATATATGTATATATATATATATATATATATATCCATTCAGGGCGGAAGTGCCTGTTGACCCATCCCCAATCCACCCGCAAAGTTTTGGCTTATGGCTTACTGAACCGTCGATGTGGCTGCTTTTGCGACTGGGTGATAAGACAGCCATACTGATTTTATGTTTCAATTTGTTTGGGGGGCTCAAGATTCTCGGCGGTAACAAGGCCGTTGGCACATCTTGGCACAAACTTTGACCAAACTGTTTAGACTCTCCCTTTTGCGAGGCGACTGTTCCTCGCTGGCTGGGCTCTCCACCTGGCCCAGGCATTGTGGCTTACGACCGAGACTTCCCTAGCTCGGAAATGCATGAGATGGCGCAGCTGTTACTTTCATCAAAGGGCTTGCGCAAGGGAAGGATCGGGTTAAGTAATTATGCGACCGCGTCCGCTGACAGTGCTCTTGTTGCAAACACTGCCGCTGTTGCAGTGGCAGTGGCAGTCGTCATCATAGTCGTAATCCATGGCTACTGTAGAACCAGTAGGAGGCCTAGCAGCAGCAGCCGCGGCGAGCGCCAGCAGCGGCAGCGGCGGCAGCAGCGGCAGCAGCGGCAGCAGCGGCAGCAGCGGCAGCAGCGGCAGCAGCGGCGGCAGCGGCAGCAGCGGGCGGCAGCTGCGCAGCGGGGCGGCAGCGCGGCGGCAAGCGGCGGCATGCGTGCGGCAGCGGCGGCAGCGGCGGCGGCGGCGGCAGCGGCAGCGGCAGCGGCAGCGGCAGCAGCAGCAGCAGCAGCAGCCACACCGCCACCCCCACCCGCATCGGCCAACCCCCACCCGCACCCCACCTCCACCATGAGCCCACGCTGCCAGGCAAGACTGGCTGTTGTCAGGGTGTTTGCGACAGCGGACGAAGTGAATGCCTTGCTGCTGTCTGCCACGACACCCTGCCATGTTAGTTCCCACCTGATTGCCAAAGCAGTGTCTCCTTCTAGCCTGAATGCTTCGGATCGTCCAAACGCCAACCCCTGGGCACATCCAGAAAGTAAACCAGCACCCTGCTCTACAGTACCAATACCGTGCTGCGCTAAGGACATGGGAGACGACGAGGCCGTGTGACCCGGCGAAGATCACACAGCCTATCGATCTGATCCTGGTGTATAGCAAGGACGAGGGCGTAGGGCATCGTAGGGTTAAGGCTTGGGCTCTGGGCTTAGGGTACGGTGAAGGTTTAGGGCCATATAGGCGTCCGACTTCTACGCTCTTACACAGCTCTTGCTCTCTGGGGGGTCTTCTGGCGGAACCTCAGTGGACCCTGAGACAGGTGCAATCCGACTTTCACGAGGCCAACACTCAAGTACCATCTACACAACACACACACACAAACAAACACCTGAATGGACAACTGAGAAAGCACTTTATATTCTCTTCAGAAAGGGATGACGAGTTTATAGCTGATGTTAAGCTGAGGGCTGCAAACCTGACCTTTGGCCTTCTTGCCGGTAGGTAAGACAGGGTGTTGACATGCCTGCCACTATCTGAATAAGGCTCGTCTAGAAATAAGTCAAATCATTGAGGAGATTGCCTCACGATTGTCACGCAAGTGTAGCTTTGACGTTGTTGCTGTGGCAGGACATCGAGTCGGAGAGATACCTGGATCCCACCGCCACCAATTCGCACACTGTCGTGGACGCTCTGCTTCTTGCTGCCCTTGCCTGTACCACGAAATCCCGCATCCCCAAAAGCCTAATTACGCCGCGCAAACCCTAAACATCCTCAAGCACCCTAGAAGCTTCAACCTGCCTGAATTCTTTGAGAGATTATGAGAGCCGACGTCCAAGGCAAGTCTTTCAGCTTTGTTCACCAAACAAAGCTTACCCTGGATGTCGTGCAGCTTGCTTGCAGGGATCGATGGGATGATGGAACACGGATGGAACTATGGTTTAATTATGGGATCAAGAGCTAGGCGTAGGTCTTAATCATGTAGGGGGAGGCCTGCGGTTTTGTCCGAAATGACGAAGGTTTCGCAGAGATGAAGAACATGTCCGTGAAGCTCACGCCAGAGGAGGACCAGTACGATGTTCACGGTTACAGTGTGAACCGGTTCCTTTGACTGAAGGGAGCGCGTCGGGAACACATGGGAACACTCCCAATGCCGACGGCTTCAAGTTCTAAACCCTATACCCACCCATCTTGTTGGTAGTTACCTGGCAGTTGCTTCAACGTTTCGTTTTGCGTCGCCAACCTCCCAGCGGAACGAGGCATTGGGTCCAGGGCCCAAACTCCGTGTTCACGAGCATCATGTCGGCCATGCTCACTGGAGACCTGCGCGGGTACGATGCTTTCTTCTTCATGGAGATGGATGCGGTGCCCATCAAGGTGCAAAAGTTTCAAGGGAACTGCCAGACTCACAACAAGTCTGTCGCAGTTGTTGTTGTTGGGAAATTGCAAAATCAAGAAAGATGTGGCCACTACATGAAACCCCTGAAGCCCCAATGCGGCGCTAGACTAGCCACGGCCTCGCGCCTCGCGCTAGCAAAGTATACAGGAAGTATGTGCTATCATAGGATGCCTTTGAAAAATACTTAAAAACACAACCACTTGGCCTTCATTGGCGTTAATGTGCCCTAACATCCCTTCATAATCCCTTAACGGTCCCCTTATTTACTTCTGCGGGCTATTGATGGTTAATAGTTGTTTTGATTTGCAAGTGTAAGGCTTGTCAGAGTTCATCACGTTGCAGGCTATAGGTTTCGAGGTTTAGGGTTAAGGGTCCGGGTTATTGTTTGACGCGAAATATTCGAGATCCTTTCGGAGGAAAACCAATGAATCCAGAAGTTAAAAAAAGTTAAATCCTGATTTAATTGTTGCGTTTGGGTTGGGTTTTGACCTACCTCGACATACCTTGTCCCCTCCAACGACACAATTAAATCCAGATTTAATTGTGTTTCTTTGCGTTTGACTGGAAGACAATTGAATCCTGAGTTAATGGTATAGCAAAGACTTGTGCTAATTGGTACCTATTTGCACCATTAAATCATGATTTAATTGTACTATTATTACTACTATTACTATTAGTCTTATTATTACTATTGCTATTAGTATTATTATTACGATTATTATTACTAGTACTATTCGTATTATAATTATTACTATTACTATTAGTATTGTTATTACTGTTATTCTTACTATTTCTATGCTTATTTTTTGATTATTTTTATTATTACTATTACTCTTATTACTATGACTATTACTCCTATTACTATTATTATTATTTTTATCATCATTATTCTTAATTATCATTATTCTTATTGTTACTATTATTATTACTATTGGGTGTCCTAGTGGTTAAGGTGGTTCCCGATCCGACATTGATTCATGTCCATTAAATCTTGATTTAATTCTGCTGCGGGTTGGGGTCGTCTAGCAGAAACAATTAAATCCTGATTTAGTTGTTTTCCTTGAGCAGCTTGCCGGCATGGCATGCTACGTCGCGCGACGTTAACAGGCAATTAAATCGAGAGTTAATTGTGCTGGACCTAAGGGGCGTCGAGCCGGCCCGATGCCGGTCAATTAACTTCAGAGTTAATTTTCCTTAACTCTTGGATTCACTGTCTTCCCCTTTCGGAGAATCTTTAGAGTTTTTTTGAAGTTGAGAGTACAGAAGCCCCAAAGCATTCTTGAAGATGAATCGGAATCCAGAAAAGTATCTAGAATTCCGCGCTGGAGTTAGAGCTAGTGGTTAGTTGACAATTGCCAGCAGATGCCCATTCGTCTTTTGCAGGCAGACATTGGGCATGTAAGACTCTAGCTTGTTTAGAAGGAGCGCAGATATGGAGCAGCACCTGAGCACAAGGGTCACAAGGGCATTGCTTCTGATACCTGACACCCAACCCGCCCAAGCCAAAACCTTGAAACCTTCGCCCTCCTTTGCGTTTCTTGGCAGAATCTTAGTGGAATAAGTCCGCGTCATAGGGGTTGTTCCTGAGGCTTCTGCACGTTTTATGCTTTGCTGTTGGGATCAGGCTGGGTATTCCTTTTGTCACAATTTGACAAAACGTTGGCTTCTGACGCTCCCTATGAACCCCCTCGCCCCAACTCTCCGTCACCAAGCGTTTCCGATTGGTTACCGACGCCAGTCAAACATGAGCCAACTCTTACGGGACTCGCGCAGCTTTTGTCAAGTCAAGGCGGGCTGGCTGGAGCAGTTCGAGAAAGAGGCTCTGGAGATGCCCACGCAGAACATGGCCATCCGCGGCAGCAAGTACTTGGGCCACAAGTGGGATGCTTTCAAGCACCTGATGCCGGCCCATGTGGTCGAGCACATCAACGGCAACGCCATTTACAACTTGAAGCCTTGCCATGCTCTTGCATTCCGTTTTTTTTTTTGTTTTTTTCTGTAGGGTTGCTAGTTGCTTGCAGTGATGTTTTTGGTAGCCTCTGTTTTCTACTTTTGCTGATGGTAGATGGATCCTCTTTGCAAGGTTAACTTGGGCCCAAATCAGCGTTGATTTTCACTGTTTTTGAGGAGAGATCCGCTGTGTGCGTGGCATCTAATTCCTTCACAACGTGCATGCTCGACATACCTCAGCTCGTTTCTGCCTCGGGTCATCGTTGTTTTGCGCATTGTTGCGCACATGTAGGCGTTGGGCTCGGCGATATTTCTCACATGCTGTAACTGTTGCGTCTCTTCTGTCTCGTTCGGAACTACGCAATGTGTTGGCAGAAAGTCAGAGAAGGAAGCATCCTTGGCTGAAGTTTTTGCACGACACCTTCACTGCAAAGGGCAACATTCAGATGGCAGAGGAGATGGCCTTCGATGTGGCGTTCGCCATGATTACTCAGGCTCAGCTTCGTCCCTAACTGGGGCGCATTATGGCCCGTTATGTATAAAGGGCTTGGCCTGCCAAAACGTAGACAGATGAATTATGAGGTCTGTCCAGTAAAGTAGGACAATCTGCTTGAACAAGGGGGGGGGGGGACAGTGCTGCTCAGGCGGCCATGGATGGCAGGGAGGATGAGTTTGCCGCAGCATTTTCGCAGAGCAAAGGTACCGATAGGACTTACTGTGGGGATTCGATGCTCATTGGCAACTACGCTTCTGGGTCGGCTACAGATAGCTTTTTCCCTGCTACAGTGGTCCAAAGTTTAAACACAAAAACCTACAACAGCGCTTCATAACCCTTACAGAGATGATGCGTTGCCGTCGCAGGCCAACACGCTCTTGAATCACAGCTTCGACGTCCCGACCTACATTCGCCATGGCTCTGACAGAAATCTGTTCCACAGCCTTGCGGACGACCAGGTCACTTTGGGAGTGGCCGTCTACGACCAAAGCACAGGTCACATCATGAACACCACTCGTAGCAACCACCCCTTCAAGAACGTCCTGATGCTTCAGTACTTCCCCGGTAAGAAAGCCGTGGAGAAGATTGCATCCCCGAGCGGCGAGGTCATGGTGACCACGCAGCAGGCAACGCAGGAGCCCCACATGCATCTGTGTGAGGTCGCCAAGTTGGCGACGACGCCGTGGTTCGCTCTTACCGACAACTACCACGTCATCAACGCACCTGCGACTGGGCCTTACCAGTACCTGTCCGGTTTTTCAGCCTCAATAGCTGGACAATGCATGCTTGATACGGGTTGCCCTGTCGACCTGTAAGTAGGCGCATTAGTTGATACCAGTGGAGCAGTGGCTGGCACAAGAGCCTGATATGCTAATCTGCGGTAGCCGAAGGTCACCGTGCTCATGGACCATTCCGACCCGCAGATGCCTGTCCCCGTGATGCCTTATGTCCATGGCTGCGAGCGTGGCGACTGCCAGGCCTCGCTAGATCAGGCCACGGATCTCTTCGGAGTTCACTTAAAATACCACCATGATCCGTACGAGCTTGTCTTCAGCACCAGGGATGCCAGAGACTTCTGCTCCTCTTGGAAGCAAGCGGCGGCTAGCAAGAGCTGGAAGTCCTGCGAGCTTGCGTACGGCCCGACGGCCGATGATTACGTGGCCTGGAAGATCAGCACGAACAAGACCAACCTGATTGCCACCCCCAAGAACAAGGCCCTGTATGGTTGGAGGGCATGGACGCAGCGGTGGGCGCCTGCCCCTGTGGACATGCGACAGTGCCGGGTGCAAGTCTATGGCTTCATCGAGTACCACCATGCCCTCGGGAACATCTCATCCTGCGAGAAACGTATAGAGGATAAATGGGGGTGCAAAGCAGATCCAGACTGCACTTGGGTCCTGTTTGGCAGACAGAGAGAGGTAGAGAGAGAGAGAGAGAGAGTCAGAGAAGAGAGACGGACAGACGGACGGGCACCAATTTTGGCAGGCAAGTGGATTCCAAAGTTCCAGTCTGGCGTTTGTGTGCGCGATTGGTCCTACCACTATAAGGCTCTTTGGTGGCATCTACTGTCTCGTGGATTATAGGTGTGATCTCCGGTGTAAATGTTAACGTGTTCCAACCAGTATTGGAGTCAACGGCTAGGTAAAGTCCCCACATTACAATAAACATGTCTGGCAAATTTCCGCAGAGGTTCTCAAGAAAGCCAGGAAGCGACACTGGAAACCCAGGTGGAGAGTAAAGCCCTGGCGGCGCTGGCACAAAGGGAGGAGTTGGGCGCAAACCGAGGGCGGTAACTACGACAGCCTCGCACAAGAGCCACATCCAGACGACGAGAATGTGCACGAAGACCCCGTTCACTTCATGCAGCTCTCCAAAAAACGCGGGCCGGAACTCTGAGGCGTGCAGCCTCCCGATCTTTCGAGGCTTCCTGTTTTCCTCAGCCAAGGGCTGCATGAAGCAGAGGATGTGCACTTCGGTTTTAATGGGCCGCGACTGTAGTGCGTTATAACAGTTTTAACTGGAGGCCCCTGTTCCCGCAGATCTTTGAGAACTAGCAGCAGTCTGCTGGATGTGCAAGCGGGAAACCGGGAAACATGAGCCTCGCAGATTTATGGTGTTCGGTCTCGGGAGCTCCCCTTAAAGGGTCAGCATCCGATACCTGGCAGAAGGACACTCTCTGACAAGACATGCCTCCTTGAGGTTACATGGGCGTGTAGTTTTCATGCACCCTTCACAGCCTAGCCATGCGCAAGCAACTCCCACTCTGTCTCCAAGTCCTACACCTAAAAACCTTGAACCTTTGCAACCCCCTATGAATCCTGCAACCCCCTGTAAATCCTTACCAGCCCTATAATGTTGTACCTGCTTTAATGTGCCCCCTCCCTTCCCTTTCGGAACAGTCGAAGCTCGTTTGCACCCTTTTTCAACGGCCCACGGAAATTATATGAATAGTATGAATTGGGAGGAGTTTGTAAGAGTTTACAAGGAATCCACATGATTTTCAAAGGGATGAATGCGCTTAGATGAATCTACAAGGAATCCATATCTGCTTTCGAAGGGATGAGTTTTTATGAGTTTAAAAAGGAGTCCATGTGATTTTTTGAAATCCAGGGCCAAGACACTAAAGAGGGTCCCACAACAGTGCCCATGACAGCAGATTCGGGTGGCTCCTGGACCACCCTCCGCCGGACTGATCCAAACCAATTTTCACATTGGTTTGTTAAAGGGAAGTATTGGTTTCGGCTCCGTTGGGATTCCGGGGTCTTGGAAAGGAGTAAGAGTCAGAGGCCGTGCTTGGCCTCTTGTCATCGGTTTAAAGTTGGCTTCAAAGCAAACCCTAAATTGTGAAAAAAACAATCTGGGGTTTCGGGAACGACTTGATTTTAAACAGGAACCCCAAACAGCTTTATTCAGGGGGGCCCGCACTAAAAAGCGTCCAACATTAAGCCCTAATTCTTGCTGAACATGTGAGGGTTGCTCTAAATCCGGGTCACCGAATAGTATTGAGTCAGTAACCATATGCCTGTTTTGAGAGAAACGCAAAGGCAAATCCCCTCCTCTGCGCTCTTTTTCCATGAAGCCCATGTCGACTCGACCCAAAGCTTAAAACCTGCAGAGTTTTGGCTTCCTGCTTTAGCTTTAGCTGCTTACCATTCCGGCGATGGCGCTGTGCTGGTGCCCGGGCGTGCAAAGCAGAAGACTGCCGCACAGCCTATAGGGTCAGGGTTCGGGTTCGTGGACGCCCCCTGTTCTCATGCGAAGCGTTCACCTTATCAGGCCGATGGACAAACCCCAAGCCGCGCCCTCTTGCGAGGCGACTCTTCCTCGTTGGCTGGGCCTTCCACCTGGCCCAGGCCCGGCGTTTTGCCACCACGACCCCTGCCCAATAAACATATGCAAAAAACCGTAGGGATGACGACGATTGCAAACAGCCGACAGCCAACAGCCATGGCGGCACGCCATGCTGCAGCAGCACCGGCAGCACTAGCACCACCAGTACCAGCACCAGCACTCGCCACCACTCAACACCACTCAACACCACTTACCACCATCACCACAACCACCGCCACCACCACCACCACCGCCGCTGCCGCCGCCACTCACCACCACTCACCACCACTCACCACCACTCACCACCACTCACCACCACTCACCACCACTCACCACCACTCACCACCACTCACCACCACGACCACCACCACCACGACCACTCACCACCACACCACCACCACCGCCGCCGCCGCCCCCACCACCACCACCACCACCACCACCACCACCACCACCACCACCACCACCACCACCACCACCACCACCACCACCACCACCACCACCACCGCCCAGCAATAAACAACAGCGACCGCAGCTGCGACGACGACGGCGGCGGCGGCGGCGGCAGCGGCGACGACGACGACGACGACGACGACGACGACGACGACGACGATGACCGCCATCACGACCAGGATCACCACTACAACGCCAGCGCCAGCGAGAACGACAACGACAACGACAAACATCAACCACAACAGCGAACAACCACGGCCACAGCCACAAGCAACAGCGCAACAGAAACCTGCTACAAGCCCCCGTGCAAAGCCCTTCCATACCGACCTATCCTCAATATGAAGAATATACATACATGTATACATACATACTACATATGTGCATACATACCGTTCTATCACTATCCAAGCCCCTTGAACCGGCCAAACCCATGCTTGCATAGGCAAAGCTGGCCGTCGTCCGGGTGTTCTCGACAGCCGACGAAGTGAATGCCTTGCTGCTGTCCACCACGACGCCATGCTCTGATTAATCTCTTGCACCCTTTGATTGTCGAGCCAGAGCGGCCTCTGGCCCAGTTGAACCAGTTGAAGCACGAACTGTTTCCCGAAGTCACTGGTAATGACACACGCCTCCAGAGACATGACAGGGGTTCTTTTTTGAAAAGAGACCGAACAGGGACACCTTTCTCCGAACTTTCTAAACTTGAGACTTTTTGCACCCGCCCGCAACCTGCAAGCCTGTATGCTAAGACCCGCCAAACAAGGACGTGGGAGAAGACCAGGCCGTGCGACCCTGCCAAGATCTCGCAGCCCATCGACTTGGTCCTCGTGTACAGCAAGGACTTTGCGTCAGCATGGGGGGAGGGATCATATGAGGCGCAGGGGTGCGCCGGATGCGATTTTGGCGTTGGCGGGGCATGGTGCGTTTTGCCAGAAGGAGCGCAAGAGGTGCTGATTTTATCATAACCCGAGAGCTAACCGTGCTGCTCAACGCTTGAGCCGCTTGAGTTGGCACTCTTTTGTTATTACTAATTACAACAACGGCGTGCTGCAACCCCCTCCAGAAGCCCTCGAGCATCCTCCTGATATTAAAGCAACTATAGGGTCGGGACGAGGCGGGAAAAGGGCAGGGCGCATGAGGG